TTCAGGTTTGTTGTCATTATGCCCAGAAGTCGTCCTATTACTCGCTCCTCCAATAAGAATCCATTGGAAATTACAGTTAACTACTTGGAAGAACATACCAAATATTTGCAAAGATGTTTGCGCAGATCAGAACAAAATAATTTTTTCTTGAAACAAAAGTTGGAAATGGTTTTGGAGGAAATAACTACACTTAAAGAAAAATGCACCAATCATTTGGCTGTGAGTCAAACTCGATCAGGTATTATTGGTGTTCTCCGACGTCGTATTGCTAAACTTGAATCCAAAAATAAAGAATTAGAAAGGGAACTCCTTCGTTGCCGAAGAACTTCAAGTCCTAACTCAAATTCCTGGACTTACATGGGTGGTCCTTGGGAAAAACATTATTGTCCTCCATATGATAGAGATGGCATGCTTATTGGATATGAATATAAACTTAATCCAGACTGGGTGCGATTAAATCCTGAAAGAAATCCTGGGTCTCGTCCTCCATATGATAGAGATGGCATGCTTATTGGATATGAATATAAACTTAATCCAGACTGGGTGCGATTAAATCCTGAAAGAAATCCTGGGTCTCGTCCTCTTAGTTATCAAGAAGAACAGGAAAGAAGAAATAATAATAACAATAATAATAATATGTAAGAATTTTGTTTTTAAATAAAGAATTGTGTAATTTTGAGTGAAACAGTTGCTACTGATAAGAAAAATGACACACTGAAGCTAGGGTTCTGGCTGGTGGCAAATAATTGGAGCTAGGGTTCTGACCGGTTATTTGCTGTCATATTTTTTTGTTTTATTAGGAAATCTTATACCAGCTTCCTTTAATCGGTCTTTCCTTCTTTGAATTTAATTAGAGGTTTGCCTTTTTGACCTTGGTGTTTTGTTTTGTTCAACCTAGCTTTATGAATTCATTACAAGAAATACAGTAGTCGCTAAGTATGCTTTGTGGGCTAGCTGTGATGAAAGAGGAGAGCTTAGTGGGCCCTCTTCATTGCACTGTATTTCTTGCTTGCATCTTAGTTTTCAGATTCCTTTCTCCACTTCAAGGGTTCAATGATACTTGTGTTTGGGCAAGTTAAGGACTGGGCTATTATGGTATCTACGTCCACGTCGTATAGCCTGGGTGCTGTATTTTATACAGTAGCTAAAGGATACCTCAAAATTTCAATGTTTCTTAAAAATGTAAAAGTAATAATGATAATAATATAATAAAGTTTTAATAAAATTTAAAATGTTTATGCGAATAAAATAAATAAATATATTATTTGTGTCAAAATGAATTGAAAGAATAATATTTTTCACTTTGATAATTTCATAAAATGCTATAGCTTCAAACATTATTCTGCTACAGTTTTGCGCTTCATGACTGACCAGCCTTTAACCAGCATATGCTATGGATTCCTAAGAATCAAGGTCATCTACAGCTATGTAATGGCTTTATAAAATTACCCAAGCAAATAATAATATTTTCTCAAGTCTTAAATAAAGAAGTAAAATGATATGTATGTCACTAAATACTAATAGAGTATGGGGATAATCAAAGGAATAATGAAGGAATTATAATTGTAAAAAGGGTAAGGGTAATTAAAGAGATAAGATAATCATTAAGTTTGCTTTTATTTTTGTTTATAGAATCTTTGTGGTGCAGTGCGGTTTAATCTCGATGGGCAAGATGTAGGTATGTGTATGCTTATGGTGTTGGAGTATATGCTAACCACGTCTTGTTTTTTTGGTAGGTTATGCCGTTGCCGTTATGCAATATAGGAAGGATGTGTCAGAAGCATCACCAAACTTTAAATTTTCGGTGCTCGTCTTAGTTTTCTAGGTTGATGGTGCAATGCCAAAGTCTTTGGGATATGGAATTTTTGAGCTCGATGCAAATCACTCGGGTAAGAGCATAGTGATGAACCACGTGATAACAACAAAACCATGATTTCCTTTCATATGTTAATTGCACATGCATCGGGTCTTTATCAACAACAGTACACATATTTATCGGCGTATGGTACTATATTCCAGGATGGATGATTTTCGATCTGTTTAATAGCTAGCACTCATGAAGTTTCCGCAGCCCCCTTACGGGTTCGGTATGGATCTTGAATCAAGTAGCAACCGGAAGTATTCGCAGATGTGTCTTACGTTCTTTCCTATGGTGCTCAAGAGAATGCATTTACTCTCAAATACAAAACTCTCGTAGTCTGGCAAACTTTTCAAGTAATCACTGATACAGTTTCCTTCTCATTTTGTTTTATCATTTCGGAATCAGGTGCTCTTTTCTTTTTTTTCTGTATTTTTTTTTTTTTTTTTTTCAGGTAGCTTTACTAACGGGTATGCGATCGGATCCAGAATAAATATTCAGGGTTTGTCAGAATCGGATGTAGCCTCTTCCAACGGTACTAGTTAGGTTTGTTTTCTTCGTATTGGTGGTGGCGTTCGCGATTTCTTGTGGGAGGGCGCGCAATCGTGATCATGATCGTGATCACGTATGACAGCATTCCGGTATTTGATCTTCGGGGCCGTCATCTTCTTGAGGTAAGCGTTCCGTTTGCTATAACCGTTTTGTTTTTGGGTGGTTAGTTCTTTCTCTAACCATTCTTGTCTTTTTTTTTTTTTCTTCTTTTTCTTTCCACGTCAATGCCTTCTTCGTGGTCTTGTCCCAGTATTTTCAATCGTCAGGGTGGTATATCTCTCGTCGGTCGTGGTGTTGATTATTGCGGAGGGGACTTGTTGGAGCGTTAGACTTTCCTTGCTGTTCTGACATCTTTGAGAATATATATGCATTATCGGTTGTCGACTTCGTAAGGTAAACTTTCACGATCATGATGGCATTTCGGCGTTTCCAGTCATCGGTCTTAGTTGTATTCTCTCGTCTTGGTGTAATTCCGGTAAGTCGCAGCGTTTTCTTTCTTTTGCGGCATTCTACCATTGGTTTCTAACTTTTTCTTACCAGTCTTTCCCTAGCCCCATGCTTCACGTTCGATTCGCCATTCGTGGGTTCTCCTTGACCCACGGCGATATCCATCGTCCCTCGCATGTGCTACCGGAATCTCGTCGGTAAGTTTGGTTCTTTGCCTTTGGTTTCTTCGCCGTTCTTCTCTTTTTATTGGACGGTCCTTTCTTCCTTTAGGAACTCATCCCTCGATTCTTTCGGTGCCGCGGCGTTTCTTCGTGATCGTTGGTATCCTGGCATGACCCTCGGGACTGACGACTCGCTCCAGGTAAGTACCCTTTTTTTTTTTTTGTTTAATACGTTGTAATTTTCTTTTGTATTTACAAACGTAAATATTGGTCAGCGAAAGTCTACGTAATCGTCAGATATCTTTCATTTCCTGATTTTTTCTTGGTTTCTTCGCCAGCCGGTGATGTTCGTTTGTAAAGATTTCGCCGAAAGCTTGATTTTTTAAGGGAGGTGAGGTCTTTGAAGAACTTGCAATCGCTGTTGGTGAATTGATCGCAGGTAGAACGATTATTATTATTTTTTTTTTATGCAGACGACTAATACTAACTCAGCGTCATCCTTTCTCCACCATTCTAGGTTGTGGCTCCGGTATTTCTCTACGCCGTCCAGCATCTCTCGGGGCTGGTGTCATATGGCCGGTAAATCTTTTCTTTGGTTTATTTGGGGGAATAGGTCATTTCTTGTTCTTTGCTTCTTTTCTTTGGGCAGGGATGGCGAATTCTCATCGTTACGACGTCATTAATTCATCATTTTTTTTTATATTTTAATTTTTTAGGGGAGGCACATATACCGTCGATCCTGTGATCATTGTTCTTTAGGCTTTACTTTTCTTCTGCGCAAGCCATTCCGGGGCTTCTATCATTGGATTTGGACTTCTTTAAGGTTGGGACGATGCTTCTTCATCTATTCGGCATATACCAGCAGCCGAATTCTTCGTAGGTATCGTCGTTGGAGCAGAATTGGTCTTTTGTTTTTCCGATCGTTGCGGACACAACGTCGCTTTTGTCGCTCCTTGAACTTCCTCGAGGGGCAATTTCTCAGGGGTGATAATCAAAGGGCGTTTCATTTTTGAGACCTGATTTTCGAATTGCGTCTAACAGATGAGGTGCATCTCATAGTCACCACCAATTTGTCATATATCTTCCTACCTCAGGAGAAAGATATGGATGGAGAACTAATAGCAGGGAGACACTTTGTATGGATAAACCAATGTGGTATGCTAAAGTTCATAAGGGTGTACTAAAATTAGTACAGTTTTGAGGTGTATGAGGTCAAGCGAAAGAGGCAATGGTGATTTGTTTTGTAAAGGTCAAGTTATTTTATTAACAAAGAGGAAAGTTCAACCTTTGCAATTCCAGGAGGAATTGGAGGCATTTATATACATATTTTTGATATATGATTTAGTACATGATAAATATATGCTATGTGTACTATTTAAGTTATAAGAGAAATACTATCTTCGTTAGAACAATTTGCTATATGTGTTTTTATAGAGAAAAGTGCTTTGGCAGAGATAAGTAAATAAAGATAAATTAGAGAAATTGGTAATATTCTAGAGCACAGATAGCACGAAAAGCATAGTGCTTGGAGATAGTAGATTAGTAATACAAAGATTATTCTAGAATGGGCAATATTACAAGGGTAAATACTACTAAAAATTGAACAAAGGTAATGAAGATTATTGAGCGAAAATCAAGTATAACAATATAATAACAGCAGATAGTTTATTATTATTTTTTTTTTTTAAAGAACAAAGACAACCATTAGTTTCTTGTTTATTATTATAAGTAACTTGTCATTACAACAGTATTATAATTACTAGACTACACTACATCTCTCTTAAATATAAAGAGCTTAATGCAAAGCTCAAAAATTTGACCCATCTGTCTAAGTACTTGTTTAATCATCCAAGTTTTATAGCAAACTTTTCGAAACTCCTATATATTCTTAAGCGGTGCTTAGCAGGGAGCTAGGAAATTAAGGAGTACCCAAACATATAAAGACATTGCAGCCAATATACAGATTTGCCTCCAAGTCATAGTTGGGATTTGATATGCTTGCTTTGCAAAGTTGGCTTGATATATAGCAAGTGGAGTCAGTAGAGAGAAAAATATAAATAATACTATCTTGATACATAAAGACACTGCAGCCACTTTATGCAGGTTAGTCTCCAAGTCACAAAAAGGATTTGGCATACTTATTGTTCAAGTGTGGCAGAAGTATACAATGGATAGAATTGGACTGGATTTTTATATAGACACTGGTACCTAACTTTGCGCAAGAGACCTACATTGTCAAGGAGTAAGTGAATATTGTTATCAGCTTATTTGTAGTGTTGGCCTCAATGGCGAGTCAGTCGCTAATCTGGACTAAGACTTATATGACATTGGGTAAGTAGGTCTATGTCACTGGCAATACCAAAGATACATATGGTGATAATTATTCTTATCTTCCTTTTCTCTAGGTTAGTTCCTCTTCTAATCCTTCGCTGCCAAACTGCAAGGCCTGTGGATTCTTTCTAGGATGACTAGAGACAAATAAGGTAAGTTTATTAATTATCGTTGCACTAGCACACACAATTGAATTTATAGCAAATAGTATTTTATTAATTCATTATTTGATCGTGTCTCTCTCATTACATTGGATATCATTGCTATTTATATAGGTCTGCGATGTGTCTCTAAATCTATCGTTGTGTTATGCAGAATTATTAAACTTCTACAAACTTTGCGCCCATTGGTTATATATGATTGATGCATGATCAATGCCCCATGCGGCACCGCGCCGGGCCCCACATGTTGCGTTATGCCCCCCTACTACAATTTCTATGCTAACAGTAGGGTAACTAGAATCTCTGATCTTTATATATTGTTCTAATAGATTCCTATAAGGTGCAGTACCTAGAGATTTGGACAATAATAGTGCATATCAGTTTTTTAGATATATCTAGTCTAGCCATCAACAAGTAAACAATGCTGAGTTTGACAATGATGATTATGCTAATCTTTTGAAGGGATAAACCATCTGTTCTTTTTCTAAAAAATCATGAAAGAGAAAAACTTGTCAAAGCCCACTTCTTGGAGAAGGTTTGCCACTTTTTATATGGTTACTGAGAAAATAGAGTCAACTGGCCAGAGGAGTAATGAGATGAGGCATAGTGTTTTTTAAAAAAAGAGAAGCCTAGGAAGAAAAAACTTTAGGGAGAAGGAAAAATCTAACTTTGGCAGGAAAAGAGGAAAAAAGGGAAGGGAAGGAGGAAGAGACTAAAAAAGTGTAAATAGAAGAGTAGAGAAAGAGAAAGGGAGAAGGATATAAAGGGTTTATAGTCAAGGAAGAGAGGGGGAAGAAAAAAAGCAAAAAAAAAGTAAACAATTCAAAAAGTTTACTAAAAGGAAATTTTCAAGAAGGAGAAGTGGAAAAAAGTTTCCAAATGGTTTTTTTTTATTTTTATATTAAAAAAAAACTTTTTTAATAATAAAAAATATTTGAATTATGTTCTTGACTTTAATTTAGGAACCTATTTTTACTTGTAATAAAAAAAAAACTATAAAAAAGTTATAAACTTCACATATGTTATTTTAATGCAAAAGTATAAATGGTATAAAGTTTTTTATTGGATAATTTCAATTTAATTAAAATATGCAATATATATACAGTGTGGGACAAAACTAATGTCACTGATATTTTTTATTATAATTTAATAAATAATAATTTAATTAAGATAAAAATTTATATTAATATAGTTAAGAATATAAAAAATAAATTTACTTAATAAGATTTTTAAAATTTGTTATTAAAATTTTATTAAAATTTAATTTAAAAAATTTTTTTTAATGATTTTAATTACATTATAAAATAAGAATAACAAAAAATTATTTAAAATATTTCAATGCATAAATTTGTTAAA